TTGGCCTGAATGGAAGTCTTCTCTAGTGCCCAAACCTCCTTGCCAAACTCTCCCCCATCCTATCTGTGTTCAAACTGCTCTCAGCTAAAGCTGAATTCAGACTGTATTCAGTCACGGATGAATTCTGACTTTGTCCGTACTAAACCCTTTTCTGTCAGGGCTAGTCTAAGAGATATCAACACACTTCTTGTCACAGTTAAGGCAGGAATCTGAATCAGTTTTCTCAGCATCCTGCTCTCACAGGGCTTTTTCTGCTCGGCTGATGCCAGGCATGATTGCCTGGAGCAGTCTGTCACTCAGGGCTCTCCGCTCTGTGAAGTATTAGCCCTTCACAGTCCTGCAGTTTCATGTACAGCGCTTTTAAGCCTCTTACAAAGTGCAGTCCATCACAACTCCCATTTCCTTTTGCCATGTGTGACAAAGAAAAATGCAAAAAATGTCTCTACCGACAGCCTTCCCATATTCCTGAATGCTGATGAAATCATACTCCCTCTTCATTCCACCACAGGTTTTGAAAGCCTGTGTCCTCAGTGTGGAAAAGAAAGCAACCATTTGAAGGAAATTCACACTGCTGTCTTATCGCTCCAGAGAGCCCAACAGGACATACACAGGTATGGCAGAAATACAGTGATCTGCTTAGGGTTCAAATAAAGACCAGTCCCTTTGAAAGTGAAGTTAGCTAAATGTCCCTTTCTCTAACAGGCTTGAGAGTGGTAGAGGAAATCAATTACTGTGGGAATTCTGGTTGGAGGGAGGAAGAAAAATACAAGCATGATTCTATGATTCTAAGCGTGGAAACAGTGGGGGCCCTCGAAAGCTGGAGTTAGAAGTGTCCTAGGCTGTGGACACCGCTACAGCTCCAAAGCTAAAGAGGTGTTGCATTTAAAAAGTCTGAAAATTCACACCTTATTTAATTTGCTGTGGTCCTCTTACCAGGGATCATTTCGAAGAAAAAGGGGTCATTTTGTAGAAAAAGGGGTCATTAGCATAACTCATTTGCATAACTTATTTGCATATGCCACACCTCCTGACATCACCGGAAGTGTGTCAGAAGGCAACACCCACCACTCAGGCTCCATTGGACTGTTTTGGATTGCTAGCTATTGGGGGGGGGGGGGCGCGGC